AAAGTGCACATACATACAAAATGCACAAACGCACACCTGTCCGTTTCATGGTAATATTTTGTGACTTTTTCCCCTTTACAGACAACTCATCTCATTTGAGGTCAAAGTAAATATAAATAGAAGGGCTTTCAGAAGACTTCTCTTCAATTTTAAACTCAGATTTTTAGCCTAACTACTATTGAGATGCTTCAGCCACTGCTTTTGAAAGATGACTCCATCTTTGGGTTCTTCAGGGAGGACCACAGAAGGATTTAAAATGTGCCTGCATGTTTGGGAAAGAGAATGAGGCATCTCCACAGACTTTTCTGAATCTCTGAATCTCTTGGCTCATAGTTTATATTTAAACTATGTGAGAGAACAAAAAGCTGTTTGGAGACTTTTGGATTGGTAGAGCTGCTTAATTGGTGGTCTCATGAAATTGTTTGGAAATCGATTAGTGGTAGGTACCTAGAAAACTAAACAACAACAGCAAAAAAGTTGAGGAAATTGTTAACTCTACCTTTTAAAAAAATTTATTAATGAGAAAATGTAATAAACTAAAAAACTTCTGATAAATAGTATTGATAGGTCTATATAATACAGAATATTAATTTAACCAAAATTTGTGACATTTCTAAATTGGGTGACCGGGGAAAGGCAGTATCTTGGTGACTGCTTGTCTTGAAATATAGGAATTTATTTCCCACAGTTCAGAAGACTGGAAGCTCAAAATGAAGGTGTCAGCAAGGTAGCTTTCAATGTGAGACCTCCTTTGGCTGTGCGCAGCCACCATCACCCTTGTGCTCATATAAACTCTTTACACAAAGGGTAGACAGTGAGAGAAAAGAACCTGGTATCTTCTTGTAAAGATAATAACCCCGCCATAAGGCCCCTGCTCTCGTGAGTTCATCTAACCCTAATTGTCTCCCTCCAGCCCCATCTCAAAATAACATTACAGTGAGGGTTAGAGTGTCACCAGATTGGCAGTGAGGAGGATGAACATTCAGTTCATTACAAGTTATGTGTGTTTGTAAGCAAAACTTGATCTAGCTTATTTGATAAATATAAGCAAAACTTAGTTTATTTCTCCCTCTATCACTTCTTTGTTGCTATAAAAATTAGGTCTAGGTCTGCTGATCAGTTTCACAGTAATAGTTAATCATTAATCAATAGTCACTACATGCAAGACACTATGCCAGGCACTTTGGATACTTCATTTCATTTAATCCTTTTAGCCTTGCAAAGTAGCTTTTGTTATCTCCAATTTACAGAAAATGAAGATGACTCATCGCCAACCATGGTCCAGGTGCTATACTAAATTTTTAATATAGATTATTTTTCTATGTTTATTAATAACCCTATCAGGTAGGTACTATTTTTTTTAAAGATTTATTTATTTATTTATACAGAGCTGGGGTACAGGCCAGAGATGCGGAAGGTGAGAGGATTCACCAGAGACAGAGTGGGGAGCAGAACAGGCAGATCGACGAAGTACACTGCTGAGGGGAGCAGCGGGCGGGTCAGGAGAGGTCTGCCGCGCCATGTGGTCACCTCCCGTGCAGGCGGGAATCGAACTCATGCGGAGGTGGCTTTAGCTTCTTAGTGCAGTGCTTTAACCCGCTGCGCCACCAGGGAGGGCCCAGGTAGGTACTATTTTTAATCCTCCTTTTTCTAGATAAGAAGCTGGAGACACAGATAGATCAAGGTCACACATCTAATAAATGAGGTATAGGATTCAAATCTCTGGTCTGTATGGTTTCTGAGTTGAAGCACTGAGCCTCTTAACGGCCCAACCAAGCTAACCTTACAGCTGAGGGACACTAAGTCACCATCACATTGTCTTTTCATGAGTTTCAAGACTTGTTAAAATTAAAAGTCTGCTTTTCTTCTTGAGAGTCCCAGCAGCGACTTCCCTCAGTAAATTATCTCTTGCCTGACTAGCTTCATATTTAATGACTTTTCTAATCCTCACTCTGAATGTCCCCTTTTCATTACCCTTGACTAACCCAAATGATTTCTTCATATAATGTCCCTGAGGTTGAAAATTATATAATTTGAGGAGAAATGATATAACATGAAATACAAGATATCATTAAGGTCAACCAAAAGTCAATAAATGTTAGAAAGGACTAATATATTTCTATCTCTTTTATTTGCAAACATTTATTGCCCGCCATCCCTCTATTCAGCACAATACTGGGTTCAGTCCTATCCAGTGAGCTTTGCTCCAGTTATTTCCAAGGTCAAACCTGTGCTGGTCATCACAAATAACATCCTCACTTAACTTTCAACCATAACGTCCCCTCCCTCACCCTCACTTGCGCCACTTCGGACCCCATATTCCTACTGTTCCCCCTTGTAGTTCTTTGATCCCACCAGGACATTACTGCTTTTTAATTATCCATAAGTCCTCCTTGCTTTTGATTCCAGCTTAACTCACTTGGTCTTGCAAAGTGGCTTTGGCCTTCTGATGACTCCCTTTGAAACAGTATTAGCTTGCTCACCACCCCCTCCACTTACACATTTGGCAAAATGTCAACTCTAACGAAACTCAACTACTGGCCAAATAAATACCTATGCCAGCACCTGGACAGCAGCATGGAGCTGAAGAACATCACAACTTGCCTTACCTGTACCCACACCTGCTCCTCCTCTCTTCCAATGGATGGAGGGTTCCTGCTTTTATTAGAGGTGCTTTCCCTGGATCTGGCCTGCTCAGGAAGACCACTTTTAAAATTAATCCCAATCTCTGGCAACTTTTATTTTTTAGAAAATATTTATTTATTTATGCATACAGAACTGAGGTACAGGCCAGAGGTGCAGGGGCTATGAGAGGCTTCACCAGAGACAGAGTGGGGAGCAGAACAGGAAGATGGACTGAAATACACTGCTGAGGGGAGCAGGAGGTGGGTCAGGAGAGATCTGCCTCACCATGTGGGTCACCGCCAGGGCTGGGGATAGAACTCACACTAAAGTGGCTACAGCTAGCTTACAGTGTTGCGTCCTATCCTGTTGTACCACCAGGGAGGGCCCTCGCTGGCATCTTTAAATGGTGCCTAGTGGCTCCTCCCCACAAACATAAAAGCTTCTTCCAACTATCTTCCATCTTTAAAATAAAACAGATCTTCCCTGGAACATACATTTGCTTTAGCTACATCACCATTTTTCTGTTTGACTTTTATTTTTTCTGTTTGACTTTTAGAGAGTAAAATCTCTGGGACTTTCAGTTAGCATCTCGCATTCACAGTCAATATCTCCACTTCTCCATTTCCCATTCACTCTTCAACCCAGCCAATGAGGCCATGCTCCCACCATGGCCCCAAAACTGCTTTCATCAGACAATTAGTAAGGTCCACGTTGCCAAACCCAATGTTAACTCTGCCCTTTTTCTATCTCATCTCAAAGGGCTGCGAAAGGGCAAACTGCTCCCTCAGTCTAGAAGTGCTCTTATTTTCAATGTCTGGGAAGATACTTGCCTAGTTTTCCCACTATCTTATTGATTGCTAGTCTAAGCCACCTTAAAAGGTTCTTCTGCTTCACCTTGCTGTGCGCCAGGGATTGCTTCTGGCCTACCTCTCTCTACCTCTGCTCTCACTGAGGTTGATGTGGTCTCATTCAGTCCCACAGCTATGCTACCATCTGTATGGAAGTTACTCCAAATCTCCATCTCTTGATATCTCCACTTGAATATCCAATATGTATCAAGTGGGACATAAGCAAGGCCTCATGACTCAACACCATCACTGACTTAGCCCTAGGTAAGCAGCACTCCCAGCCACCTAAATTCCTGGGTCAAAACCCTAGAAGTGAAATCTCTATAACAGGCAAATCTATAGAGGCAGAAAATAGCTTAGTAATAGCTAGCTGTACTGGGTTGATGATGCCCTCCCTCAATAAAGCATGACTATGTCATAACCCCAGGAATCTGTCACCTTGACCTTATTTGGGAAAAGGGTCTTTGCGGATGTAATTAAGGATTTTGACATAAGAATAGTCTAGATCCCTGGGTAGACTTTAAATTCAATGAATAGTGTCCTTTTAAGAGACAGAAGAAGAGAAAACATGGAAGACAGGAGAAGGCCACATGAAGATGGGGGCAGAGAGTGGAGTGTGGCAGCCACAAGCCAAGGAATGC